AAGAGGGAAGTGCGGATTTTTGATGATGTTATGTAATATTAAGTTCACGTTAACCCTAGAAACATCCAAACATGGGTAGATTATAAAAATGACTTTAGTTAAAAGTTAACATAAAAGAGAGTTATCGCGCGAAATTATACAAGCAAGTGGATTGATTGTGCATTAGTCCCAGTACTGGTGTTAGATATCACGTCATTTGTAAATGTAGGACTAACGAATTACAACAGTAAATTGGTTTAAGCTTGTAGAAACGTTTAAACTAGCTTCTTTCATTAAAAAGACTAGGCATTCTATTGTTTCACCTGTTATCAGTGTTAATTTAAAGGAACCCGTCAACAGAGAAACTGCGTCACAACAATTCGCTAAGACAAAATCTACTTATCTTTAAGCAAACATAATATATATATATATATGGCAGCGTCGATATATATAAATAAAACAACGCTGCCAAAGTATCATATGTTACACTCATGTTTATTTAAATAATGTTAAATAATTAATACAGTAATATATACGCAAATATATAAATTTCTGTGCATTATAATTACAAACTTATTGTTGTGTACGAAATTTTCACTTTTAATTTAAATATGGTCGAGATAGATCAAAATTCTCTCATTAAAAATTAAATCCAACATTTCTAATATAAAGTATTTTGATGAAAGTTAAATAGTGGGAAGAACGTAAACACTTGTGCATATTATATCTGTGATCATAGATATAAAATTAACCCATGTACGTTAGTTCAATGTGATCAGCCTACTTTATATGAAGAAAATTGGATTTAACCTAACGTGAAAGCATTTTGATCTGCTTTAACCATTTTTTTAAACAAAAGTGAAAGTATTCCTTTTAAAAAGCAACTCTGAAATTAGAATGCACATAATACATACTGTTATATTTTCAGTGTTTTAATTCAGGTGTTAACTAGAAGGTACACGACTTAAAATCAAGTAAGTGTGTAGGAGTTGGCCTAGAATGTTCTGGATGATGTCACGAAAGTCTAGTAACTTTCCGAAATATCTAGAAACAAGTCTACATTACACGTACCGAAGATCAGTGAAACATTGAGTTAGTGTTTAGTTTTCAGTTGGGGTGCCAGTCATTGAATGAAGTATTTGGACCAGTGTTAGTTATTGCGTATATTCAGTTACTCTATTGATTAGCAGTGAAATTGTACAATTAAATCGAGAGGGGTTGGACATACTCATATTTCAGCATTATGAAAAATTATCAGGACGAGATTCCTTAAAAACAGGCCGAGGAGTTCGAATGGGGGTTCCAGGAGGCGAAATCCCGTGGAAAAAAAAGTGTTTTGAAGGGTACAAATAGACCTATCCTTGTAATAGAATATGTAATTTTCCAATAGAAATGAGCAGAAAACTTTATAAACATCAAGAGGTATAAAGACTTAACTATAATAAATCTTATTTTGGTTTAAACAGATCTCTTCTTGCGACTTTCTGTTTCCCCTTATTGATAAACTATTCTATTGCAGTAGTTTGTTGCTTTCTTTGAGCTTTGGAGTGCGCAAGCAGATCGCCAGATTGGAAGAGTCACATGCTTAGACCCTGGTTTCTTTTATTTACATCTTATTTTTTAT